CACATGGCTTGTTCAGTCTGCTTTCTTATAGCACCTAGGACCATCTGCCGAGGGTGGCACCACCCACAATGGGATGGGCTCTCCCCATCAATTGCTAAGGAAGAAAATGCAGTATAGCTAGATCTTATGAAGACACTTTCTCAGTTGAGATTCCCTCCTTTCAGATGACTCTAATTTGTGTCAAGTTGTGATAAGACTAGCCAGTACACCCTCTCTAAGCCTCCCCAGTTCTAGGATTACAGGGGTGCACCATCATTCCTGGTTCATCATTATGTTTTAAAAATGCATCTGTGGTGGTTTGAAAGAAAATGGTCTCCAAAGGGAGTGGCACTATTAGGAGGTGTGGCCTTGTTGGAGTAGGTGTGGCTCGCTGGAGGAAGTGTGTCACTGTGAAGGCTGGCTTTGAGGTCTCATATATGCTCAAGCCACACCCAATGAGACAGTTCACTTCCTGTTGCTTTTGGATCAAGATGTAGAATTCTCCAGAACCCCAGTACAATGTCTGCCTACATGTCGCCATACTCTCAACCGCCATGCTCCCCACCGTGATGATAGTGGACTAAACCTCTGAAACTTTAAGCGGTCACCTCAATTAAATGCTTTCCTTTATAAGAGTTGCCATGGTCATGGTGTCTCTTCACGGCAATAAAAACCCTAAGTAAGACAACGATCTAGAGGATGTAACTCGGTGGTAAAGAGTCTGCTTGCCATGTATGAGGCCCTGGGTTCAATCCCCAGTATTTCTATAAGGAAAGAAAGAGAAAGGAAATGCTTTGGGTGAGGCTGTAACTGTGAGTGTCTGATGCTGTAGCCACCGACCTGTGGTAAGAAGATGTCTGTGACTTTTATTGGAGACATGTCATAGCATGGCTAGCGTGGCTCCAGTTTGTTTAAAGAATGCTGAATTTCAGTAGAGAAATTAGTAAAAATAAAGAAAAATAGTGACGTACATCCCCCCCCCCCCGCCCCGTTCCCTGAGTTCTAACAGGACTCTTTGTAAGTCCCTCCAGATGTCTGAGACTGTTTTTATTAATAACGGAATAGCCCACGGTAAAGCCATGAGCCTCTTGGGAGTCTATTTCTCCTTCTACAAACACATGAGTACAGATGGAGATGCAGCCACCTGCAGGACCCAACCAAGGTGGTCAAAGGACGCAGGGGTGGGTGGGGCTGGAGGTGCGGAAGGTGCCTGATACAGAAGCATTCCTAGGGGCTGAGGAGATGCCTCAGTTGCTAAATGTTTTCTGTGAAAGCATGTGAACCTGAGTTTGATCCTCAGAACCCATGTAAGAAAGCCAGACATATATACTCCAGCAGAGCCAGGAGGCTCACTGGAGCTCACTGGCCGGCCAGCCTAACCTAGCCAATGAGAGATCGTGTCTCAAAACAAACAAAGACACAAACAAGCAAAGCACGTGGAGCTGACAAGATGGCTCAACAGGAGATGGGAAGGATGTTTGGCACAAAAGCACTCCTGGGGCCAGGGGAGACGGCTCAGTTAGGAAAATGTTCACTGTGCAAGCATGAGAGCCTAAGTTTGATCCCCAGAGTTCTCGTAAATGTGGGAGGAGAGGACGGACTCCATGAAGTTGTCTCCTAACCTCCACACAGGTGCGGCGACATGCACGCAACCCCACCCCCCCACATTCACATCATGCTCACTCACACAATAATCAAAAGGCAGATGGCACCCAAAGTTGACCCCTGGGCTGCACATACTTACACACACACACACACACACACACACACACACACACACACACACACACCCCAACTCCTAGAAGTCGTCTTTGGGTCAGCTATTTCCCAATGCCCCTCCTGACAACACAGTCATTACGGCCCCCCTCCCCCCATATTACACACTGTACATCTTAAGATCACAGGCAGTCACTTAGCTTGTCAGTGGGCATGAACTCTGCTTCACAGGCTTTTTTAACTTAAAGACCGTAAACCATAAAGAAACCACGTGCTCTGGCCCCTGGAAAGCAGGGTTTTCTTACCCCACCCCCAGCATGCACTCAGACCCTAAGGAAAATATTAAGCTGGAAAGAAAGATGATAGCAGGAATAAACAAATTAGAAGACACAAAAACAGAGGGATCAATAAATAAAACCCAGAGCTGGTTCTCTGTGAGAGTTAATAAAGAAAGACCAACCTCTGGCAAATATAATCAAGAAAAGAAAAGAGGCCCAAATGAAATCAGAAATGAGGAAGTGATTATAACAATGAATCAAAAAGATTAAAACATATCGAGGGGGGAGCACACATAATTCTACAGCAAATTTGTTTTAAAATTATCAATTAAACAGATGACAGGCTACAAAATTATAAAGTAACGCCACAGACACGAGAAATGTGGGTGAGACAGGCACACAATGAAAAATCTGAGAGCGGGAGAGATATATGAAAGAGTGATCTTCCCCACTCTCGAAAAGGACATTCTTATCCACCGGAATGTCTCTGGAGAAATCTATCCAAATTTTACAGAACACTGCATTTCCGTGTTACATAAATTTTTCTTTAACATAGAGAAAGAATGGTGAAAAAAAATCTGCTAATTCATTTTGCAAGGCAAATACAGTTCTGATTTTGAGCTCTGATAAAGAACTGTTTTTCTAAAAAAAAGAAACAGGATCTAATATCGCTTAAGAATACAGTCCCAGAGAATGAGGTTCAGCAACTTATTAGGAGAGTAAACCACCATGACCATGGAGGGTCTCCAGCAATGCAAGGCAGGGTCAGCACAAGGACTATTAATACAACACAGCAGATCAATAGATTAAATAATAGGAACCATACGATCATTCTAGTGTGTGCCAAAAATGTGTTTCAATGGATGTCAAAACAGTTTTTTAAAAATAGGAACACGCCGGGCGGTGGTGGCGCACGCCTTTAATCCTAGCACTCGGGAGGCAGAGCCAGGCGGATCTCTGTGAGTTCGAGGCCAGCCTGGGCTACCAAGTGAGTCCCAGGAAAGGCGCAAAGCTACACAGAGAAACCCTGTCTCGAAAAAAAACCAAAAAAAAAAAAAAAAAAAAAAATAAAAATAGGAACAGTATGACACTTCTTGTCATAGTAAAGATCTATTAAAACCCAAGCTAGCGGCTTTAATGGAAAAAGGCAGAGACTTTCCCATTAGGAAAGCGGAGGTGGGCAGGTGAGCAGTGTACTGCTATTGTTATTCAATAGTATACTGATAATTCAGGCTGATGTGATAAGACATGAAAAAGAAAGCATAGGAATAACTCTCAGAGAGGTAGAAGGAAGATTCCTCCACAGAGGCTGTGATTACTCACTTTAAAATCTGATGTTCAGGCTGGAGAGATGGTTCAGAAGTTAAGAGTGCATGTTCTCTTGCAGGGGACCTGAGTTCAGTTTCCAGCACCCACATGAGGCCACTCACAACCACCTGTAACTCCAGTTCCAGGGGTTCCGATGTTCTCTCCCGGCCTCTGAGAGCACCTGCACACATGTGCACACTCAGACATACCTCATACTCATTAATAATTTTTTTAAGTCTCAAAAAAGTAAAAATAAGTTGATATTTTCATCAGGGCAACAATAGTGATAATATACTAGTTTAATAACTAACATCATGAAAGTGTGATAGATATTTTTTAATTAATAATTTTCATAAACAGATATAAGACAGAAAACAAATTAAAACCAAGATCTACTTCACAATCAGATATAAACAGCAAAATACAAAGACAGAAGACCCCCAGAAATAACATAGTTTTCCATGAAAGCAATAATAGAAAATTTGAATAATGGGGGGGAAATGTAACTTTTTTACAGAAGATAATATAAATGGTATTATTTTATGTTTTACTCTAAAAGGATTTCTTTTAGAATTTGACAAAATGCATTTTAAAATAATTTGGAACAGAACTGGCAAAATGGTGGAGAGAGGCCTGGCGTGGTGACGTTAACAGCGTTAAATAAGTCATGGAGAACCAGTATCAAAGTGGTGTGATAATGGAGCCAAATTAGCACTGTGGCTCAAAGAATCCAAAAGTCCAAAGGTAAGTATAGTGCCACAAACAAATTTAATATGTAAGACGTGTGTCACAAGGGCTGGAGAGATGGCTCAGTAGTTAAGAGCACTGGCTGCTCTTGCAGAGAACCAGGCTTTGGTTCCCAGAAACCACACAAGGACTCAAAATTCCACTGTCATTCCAATCCCAGGGGACCCAGCTCCCTCCTCAGGCCTCCATGGGCACCAGGCATGCATGTGATGCACAAATACATCCAGGCAAAACATTTCCACACATACAATAAAATAATAATCTTTTTTAAAAAGTATGTCACAAAATGGCAAAGGAAAGAAACGTCCTATAATAAAGGAAGCAGGGGAGCCAGGGAGTGACTGCAGAGTTGACCTAAGTCTACACCGAAAAATGCATTCTAGATTTAGAAGTGGCCAGTTCAAACACTGCTGTAGTCAACCCAGCGTCAGTAAATGGTGTGCGGATGCTCGTTCCTCACCTTGCAATGGGGCTGCATCTATTTACACACCCACCTTACCAAGCACCCTTCGTAGCAACAGAGGACACCATAGAGTATCCATTGTTTACCCTTGTCTGCAGCTGCCAAGGTCACTTCAGAATCACCAGTCCAGGAAGACACCAACACCCACACCGAGAAGTCTGGGTGTCCAGGGTGAGTCTTACTGTACGCAACTGTCAATAAATGCAAAGCCAGACCCCTGTAAGTCAGGTGCTGTCTGTATTTGTTCCATGTGAGGAGTTGTAGTTCAAGAATAAAGGACACAGGAGAAATAACAAAGGGGAAAGACTGACAGAGTAAATCATGGTAACAAGCTGGATATATGCATATGCAAACACCGAGAGTAGACGGCAAAGGAAATAATATGCCAAGGGGATGATTTGCAGCAAATGGGTGTTTAGCTTCCTCCCCCTCCCCCCTCCTCCTCCCTCTTCCTCTTCTTCTCCTTCTCTTCTCTTCCTCTCCCTTCTCTCTCTTCTCCTCCCCCTCCTCTTCCTCCTCCCCTTCCTTTTCTTCTTCTTCTTCTTTCTCCCTCTTCATATTGCTATCATTTGGGGGTGCTGGGGTTGAACCCAGGGGCGTGCACGTGCTAGACAAGTGTGACACGTCTGCAGCCATGCTTTCAAATTTTCTTTTCTTTCATTCTTTTTATTTTTAAAATTGATGCAAATTCACTGTATACAGTGCTTGGTTTAATAAATACGATTTCTTTCTATTATATCATGGGTTCTGACCGTGACACACACACACACACCTCTGCCTCTCTCTCCTCTCTCCTCTCCACTTTCCCACTAGCCTCCTTCCAAGTTTCTCTTGTGCTTCCACACCAAATTTGTGTGTAAATGCTAATATATGTGTATGCACACACATCTTAATGTTCTATAAAAAAAGCTGTGCTCCACAGGTGAGAGAAAACATGCAATATTTGTCTCTTTGAATCTTATTTCACTTGATATGATTATCTCCAGTTGCATCTGTTTTCCAGCAAATGACATAATCTCATTCTTCTTTTTGATCGAATAAAACTCCATTATATGTATATGTGCATATATGTGTGTGTATACAAACACAACACACTTTGTTTATCACCCACTCACACACACACACACACACCCTACAGACACTTTCTTTATCCTTTTATCTGTTGAAGGACATCTAGGCTGATTTCCTAACTTGGTTATTGGTCATCGGTAAACACCAATGTTCGTCTATCTCTGTTGATTTAGAGTTCTTCAGGCATATTCCCCGAAGTGGTTGGCTTGGTCATTGGTAGTTCTAGTTTTAGTTCTTTGAGGAACTTCGTGCTGACTTTCATGGTGGCTGAATCCTTTCACATTCCTAGCAACAGATACGAGCGCCCCTCTTTCTGGCACAATTGCCAGCATTCACTGTTTTCTTTCTGAAGCTGTTCTGATCACGGCGAGATGGAATCGTGGTGTGGTTTTTACTTTGTACCTCCCTGACTGGGAGGGATGTTGGCCATTTTTCCTGTTTCTCGGCCGTTTCATTTCATCTTTTGAGAACTGCTTATTTCATTAGCTCATTTATTGGCTGGGTTGTTGTAGGGGTGGTATTGTGGTCTGAGTTCTTCATACGTTCTGGATAGTAATCTTCGGTCGGATGTATACCTAGCAGTATTTCTCCCAGTGTGTAGGCTGTCTCAGCACTCATTTTCTTTGCTGTACAGAAACTTCAAGTTTAGCAATCCCAGTGGTCAATTCTCGGGTTTATTTCCTGAGCGATTACAGTCTTTCCCAGAAAGTCTGTGCCTATACTCACACTTCTAAAGTGTCTTCCTTCAGTTTTCCTTTAATGACTTCAGAGTTCCAGACCTTTGGACCATTTTGAGTTGGTTTTTCTACAGCGGGAGAGAGAAGGTGTTGGTTATTCATTAAGTGGTGCTGTTACCATGCGAGAAAAGCCACGAGGCGTGACAAAACCCACTATCAGAGTTTCTTAGGGAAGGAGGGACAGAAGAGACCGTGCTTAGGCCTGTAGAAGACATGGGGGGGAGTGGAGAAGAAGGGGGAGGAGTCTGTGACCCGCTTTTTGTGGATCCCCCCCCCCCACACACACACACACACACGTATTGGGCTTATGGAGCTATGCCACAAATGCGCATTGATTGTGTAATCACACTGAGCGCAAATTATGCAATCACGCAGAGCAGATTACGTAGAAAGTAAAGCCCTGGAAGGACTAATCGGTTTTTGTTGTTGTTGTTGTTGTTGTTGTTTTCGAGACAGGGTTTCTCTGTGTAGCTTTGCGCTTTTCCTGGAACTCGCTTTGTAGCCCAGGCTGGCCTTGAACTCATAGAGATCCACCTGGCTCTACCTCCCGAGTGCTGGGATTAAAGGTGTGCGCCACCACCGCCCGGCATTGTCCAGGGCCTTCTACTAATTTTAAGATTGTAGTTCTATGAGGAATGCCATTAGAATTTTTCTGGGAGCTTCCCTGAGACTTTCGATTGCTTTTGCTAGTGTAGATGCATTCTCTGTATCAGTTCTGGCAACTCATGGGCACAGGGGTCCTTTCCATCTTCTCAAGCCTTTCATTTCTCTCTTTAGTGTTTTAAAATTGTCAATATAGTCTTCCACATCCCTTGGTTAGGCTTACTGCTTTATGTTTTTAAGTTATTTTTTAAAGCATTTGTTTTCTTGATTTCTTTCTCAGTATTTCCACTATTGGCATAAAGAAAAGCTACTAATTCTAGTTTTTGTATGTTGGTTTTGTGTCTTTCTCTCCACTGAAGATGTTCATCAGTACAAGGAGCTGTCTGGGAATGTAGGGTCTTATGTACAGGATCATCTTATCTGCGATTAGGGATAAGTTGACTTCCTCCTTTACTATTTTTGTCCCATGCATTCATTCCCTTTCTTGTCTTATGGATGTAGCTAAGACTTCAAGGACTGACTTTGTTGAATGAGAATACAGGGAGCGGACATCCTTCTCTGGTTCCTGATGTTAGTGGTTACTCTTGAGTCTTTGCCTGTTTCATACAATGTTAATAACAGGCTTGTCATGTATGTGCTTTATGATGTTGAAGTAAAAACCTTTTGTTCCTCTTTAGGGCTTTTGTCATTAAGGGGTGTTGGACTTTGTCAAAGTTCTTTTCTGAAATAATTAAAATGATCATATGATTTCTGTTCTGGAGTCTATTAAAATGATGTTTATACGCATTTATTTGCATATGTTGAACTCTCCTTGCATTCCTGGAATGCAGTCTACTCAGTCATGATGAATGATCTATGAAGTTGAATTTGGTTTGTAAATATTTTTATTAAAAAGTTTTCATCCATGATCATGAGGAAGACAGCAAATAAATAATTTGATTCATTTGCTGTGTTCTTACCAGGTTTGGGAATCAAGGTAGTACTGGCTTCATAAACAGGGTTGACAGAATTCCTTCCTAAGCCATAACAGTACTTAGTACATCATAGTTCAGAATAATTAGCAGTGACTCTACCTGTGTGTGGACGTCTATTTAGTTGTGAGAATTTGCATTACTATTCCTATCTTGTTGCTTGCTATAGATCTATTTGTTTATAGACTCTTGGTTTAGTTTGGTTACTTATTGATAATTTATCCTTTTCTCCTAGGTTTTCCAATTTATTAGAATCTAAGTTCCCAGAGTACGCCCCAGGAAGCCTCTGGATTCCATTGGCATCTGTTGCAACATCTGCCTCTTCATCTCAATTGTTATTAATTGGTGTCTTCCCTCTCTTTTGATTAGTTTGACTACAAGATTGTTTAACTTTGCAAAGAATCATTGATTTTTTTATATTGTTCTTTTCATTCACATTTTATTCATTTCTTCCCTGATCTTTATTATTTCTTTCTGTCTACTGACTATGGGCTTGGCTTTGTTTTTATTTTTCTGGGAATTTGAGGTGCGTTATTAATTTGAGATTCCTCCAACTTTTTATCTATCTATCTATCTATCTATCTATCTATTTGTTATTGGTGTGTGTGTGTGTGTGTTTGTGTGTGTGTGTGTGTGTATGTGACAGATGTGTGTAGAGGTCAGAGATTAACTTTATGTCTTCAGTTCTCCCCTTCAGCTTTTATGTGGGTTCTGGGAATGGGATTTAGGCCACCAGGCTTGCATTGTGACTACTTTACCCATGGAACCATCTCAGTAGCCCCCTATTGTTTTAACACTTGTCTGTGGTGGAGTGGGGTGCACACAAGCGAAGGGCAGATTACCAGTTGCCTAGGGTCAGTTCTCTCCTTCCACCATGTGGGATCTGTATTTTGAGTCTGAGTTCAGGTCCACCCCAGACTGTGCCTCAGACCAGATATCCACTGCATGGAGCTCTATGATTCTGACTCAAAGTTTCTTCCCCCCCTAGAGTCAATTAAGCAGCCAAGGTCTGAGAGGGCAGTCCCATGGTGCTTGCTCTGAGTTCTCAGAATGAGCTATGCGTTGAGGGACTTTTGCCTCTCTAGCCACCTACCCAGCAGAAGCCTTTTCACAGGGCTTCATCCCCCTGCTCTAGTGGGGTGCCGACACTACCCCTCTTCCTGCTGTCCCTCTCTCTCTCCCTCTTTCTATTTTAATGAAAGTATACTGTAACTTTTCTTGGTTTTTCCCTGTGTCCTAGCCCACAGTCCTTCCCTCTGCAGCTGTGTTCACACTGTGAGCAAGTACTCCTCTGTCAGGCCAAGTCCTGCAGTATAGACTCAGGACTCCCCCTCTTCTATTCCCCAAAGTTCCCTCTCTAGTTTTGTTACTGACACTGGCGTCTCCACCATCATCCACTGGATAGGATGGCCGTCCTCCAGCTGCGCCTGGTTTACTCTTCAGATTGTCTCCTAGTCCTGTGCACGGGTACCATGCCATCTTCTTCCTTTCCACAACAATGTTTCTCCTTTCTTTTTCATTCTCATTTTCATGGGGTGGGTCGGTTGGTTGGTTGGTTTAGACAGAGTCTTTCTGTGTGTCCAGGCTGACATCAAACCCACAGTCCTCTTACCTCCACTGCTCAAGTGCTGGGATTGCAGTGTGCACTGCCACACCTTTTTTAAAAAATTTAAACCTTTCTTTAAAAAATGTAACCATTTTTTAAAAATTTAAACTTTTTGAGAATCTGAGGAAAGTTAAGAAACCCTCCACAATTACATATGGGTATGTATACCTGCACAGATACACACACACATGCGTGCACACACACACGCACACGCACACACACACATGCATGCACACACACACACACGCATACACACTCACACTGACACAGATAAACACACACAGACGTAGACACGATGCATTTATGGCACACATATCTTCTAGGACTATTAGACTCCCCTACACCTCTCCTTGGACCAAGGTTGAAAATGTTTCATCCAGAAAAAAAACAAATAACATCAAAAAATTACTTAAGAACCCCCCCCCCCCCAAGGCCAAATAACTAAATGAGCAAAAGGTATGACCAGAGGATTCTCTGCACAGGAAATAGAAACAGTGAACACAAGGACAGGCGATCAATAGCACTAAATAATGCCCTGGCTTTCTTCCTCCACACTATCAGCTGATTTCAGAAAGTGAACTTAACGCTGATGATGTTCCAGGAAAATTGCCACACTGCTGGTCCCCTATCTGAAGTCACTTAAAACACCCACGATCTGCCCAACACCATCAATACTTCTCAAGCTTTAGGGCCTTTTTCTGGGAATTTACACTCATGCAATAAACTTGAAGAGCAAAGCTCCTTCGAAACTTTCATGGCTTCATTTAGAGGCAATGCGGTGTGAGAACGAAACACCTCACACCGAGGTTGGAGGTGGGAAACAATTCAGGTGTGAACAGAACAGAATGCTCTGCTGACCTTAGAATGAAAAGGAGAACGTGGTTGTGACGTGCCAGATGAGGGTGGACAAACTTGTGTAGTTAATACAAAGTGGTGGTGGGACTTTGATTTTTTATGTATTCCACTCAAAGCATGGGGAGGCCATTATCCTAACATAGACTCTGAGGAAGAGAAGAAGTTTGTGGGTGTGAATCTCAAATTCGGGGATCCAGAGTTAATTAATGAGTGATTTGAGACCCACAGGATCTGTGATGAACTCAGAATTCCCTCTGCTCTCTTCCCCTCTCACTCCCTCTCTCTCCTCTCCCTCTGAAATTGTCCCCTTCCTCTGTTCTCCAACCTCCCCTCCCCACCCTCTCTTCTGGTCTCCTTTCTTCTTCTCTTTTTATTTGTATTTGTGCCCTCCTTAGAGGGATACATCCTTCTTATACCAATCATCATGACTTGACTGTACCACCAACCCCATCATAAAGAATTCACAATCCCTATCGGTGCTGAACGATGAGGATCTATATTATAAAGCGACGTGATGTGAATCGGCTCACTTGGAGGGAGAGAAAATCCTCTTCTTGTGGGCTACGGCTCTTGTCAAGATCTCAAGCTGCATGCCTGTCTTCTTCCAGCGCTGAGCCACCAGCATCCAGAACAGTACTTGGCGTGTGGTCGCTGCTCAGCAGATAACACGTGGAGGGAGTGGATGAACGGAATGAAGAAGGCTTCCCCTAAGACATAAAGAGACACCAAGCTGTGATCTGAGATCATTTGCTGATCACGGAAAGCAAACAAAGATTTTGGAAATGCTTATACTTGGAGCATGGGGCTGAAGCAGTTTTCCCCTCTCCCCAGGAGATGCACTAAGGGTGGTACCTAAATTGAGATGGAAAATCAGACCTGTTGGGAAAGTTGGCTGGACCTTGGGTATCCCTGCTCTATAGGAGTTTGAATGACACTTTGATCAGTATCCACTGGTTCCAATAACTTAGAGCTCATCCTAGTGCCTGGGATCAGGGATGACGCTGAAGATGAACCAAAGGGCAGTAAGAGGCTGAGAGGATGAACTGAGCCTGCCCAGGGCTGCATGCAGAAGGGTGAGTTGTCCAGTTCCATAGACAGTGAAACCCGATGAATATCCAGGAAACATACACGCAGGCAGAAGAACTATAAAGACAATTTTTATTACCAAATTTGTATTTCCATGAGATTAGAGAATACACAGTGCTTTTTCAAAGGGTATTGTGTGAGTTTAGACCATTTTACTTTAAGATGAAAATCATGATTGTTGGATTTGAAAATGTAGAAGAGCCATGAGGAGCATATTAAAAATTGAAAGAAGTAGAATAAATAATTTAAATCATCTGTTCAGAAAAAGAAAATCTCTCAGAATTCAGAGAGAAGCATGGAGGGATGAAAGAAAAGCAAAACATCAGAGTCAGTCTGAAATTGGCCAAAACAAAAACAGTCTGAGGTGGGAAATGCCTACACAGAGCAGCAAAACTAACGGAAATGACTCTCATCTAAATACAACTGGGAAAGGGTTCACATATTCCATGTACAGAAGATGAGTCCAGAATTAGTAAGGTTTTTTTTTATTTTTTATTTTTTTATTTATTTATTATTTTTTTTTTTTTTTGGTTTTTTCGAGACAGGGTTTCTCTGTGTAGCTTTGCGCCTTTCCTGGAACTCACTTGGTAGCCCAGGCTGGCCTCGAACTCACAGAGATCCGCCTGGCTCTGCCTCCCGAGTGCTGGGATTAAAGGCGTGCGCCACCACCGCCCGGCTCTTTTTTTTTTTATTTTTAAAATAGGATCAGCCAAAATAAAAAAGAATACATGTAAATTATGAGATTATTAAAAGAAGAAGAAGAAGAAGAAAGTGGAAAACGTGCACACAATATGCAGAGGGTAAGGAAGAAAGTAAGAAGAGACATGAAATACGCTGACAACATTAGCAGGAAGACACTGGTCATCACAATAAATATAAACAGATCAAACTTCTCTCTACAAGGACAAAGATTATCGTGCTAAGTACAAAAGCAAATTCTACTTGGACTAGAATAATAATGTTTAAAACAAAAGAATGGGCAAAAGATATAAGATAATCATTAATATGTCAAAGGAATATTGTGACAATATTAATATAAAATCTTAATTCATACCAGGTATTTTAATGGGAGGACAGGAATAAACCTTTTTTCATTTTTTATTTTTACTTATTTATTTTTTTGAGATGGGGCTTTTCTGTGTAGCCGTGGCTGTCCTGGAACTCTCTTTGTGGACCAGGCTGGCCTTGAACTCACAGAGATCTGCCTGCCTCTGCCTCCCAAGTGCTGGGATTAAAGACCACTGCCCAGAAAGGATACACCTTCTTTTTATATAAAAGTGAGATTCTCATTATAAAGAATAGTAAACACTAGTCACTAAATAACATGGAATTCTAATACACAAAGCAGTCAACTTGATGAGAGACTTAGAGTCACTATGTTATCTACCCACTAATTTATAACCATGACAGGAAAATTAAAATGAGAGTCACTTCTTGTCCTAAACAGCTAGAAAACTTGGCAGCACTGATTAATCAACTGTTGTCAAGCCAGTCTGACCTGACAGCCAATGAAAACTTACCAGCTTTATCGGGAAGTAGAAACACACCACTATGAGGGAAAAAATAATGCACTGAACCCCAGAGGTGATACTGATGAGTATTTGAAGATGTTAATGGCATATAACTCCATTTCATACATCCAAAGAACTAAAGAATGGCCGAACAAGTTAGGTGCAGCTGTTAGAAAACATACACACAAAAAATGATTTGACCCACAGAGAAAAAATTATACTACATGAAATAAGACACAGAAAATCTGGGATTACCTGTGAATTTGATGTTACATATGGAAATATTAGTGAAGTGGAGTCATATGCTAGGAAGTTTTCAAAATGAAATGGAAAAGAAGATGAAAAACACTAGGCGATGATGCAATGTGCCACAGGAAACAGCAAACAAAACAGCCTAAAAATGTCCAGGGAGAGAAATCATGCTCAAAGAAATAACAGCAGTTTTCTACATATGTACCAAAAGATAAAAAACAAATTAACAAGCTCCAACCACAAAATGAAAAGAAAAGAGAGTCTCATTGAGGGACACCACAACCAAGTTACTTACAAACAACTATTAAGAGAAATCCTCTACAGCAGCATCCCAAGGAAGATGTGTTAACTACAGAGGAACCAGATGAGAATGACATATATTGCAGCAACATAGGCCTGAAAGAAAAGACCTTTCAAGATCCAATTCTACAACCAACAACAGCTGAATAACAAAAGGCAAAATAATCTTCAGACACACAATCTTGAAGAATTCATCTAAAGATCTTAACAATGACAAATAAAAAAAAATTCCTTCAGGGACTGAAGGGATGGGTCATCAATTGAGAACTGTTGCCGTTCTTCCAGAAGACCAGAGTTTGGTTCCCAGCATCCACCTACAGTGGCTGGCAACTGCATGTAACTCCAGCTCCAGAGGATCTGATGCCCTCTTCTGGCCAACTCAGGCATCCACACTCACAAATCTCTCTTGATCTCTCTGTCTCTCTGTTAAACACACACACACACACACACACACACACACACACACACACACACACACACACACACACACACACACAAAGAGAGAAACGTTTTTAAAAATCCCTTCAAAGAGACAATGATAATACACAGAAATATGAATCTACATAAGGAACGAAGAGTCCCCCAAATGACAGCTACCTCAATAATAATAAATAATTCCTTATTTCCTAATAATAAATAATTCCTTATTAGCTACATCTCTCTGAAGATCATTGATTATCTGAAGTTTACAACATATGTAAAAGTAGAATGTATGATGAGGCAGCAGCTGAAAGCAGGAACCAAAGCAGGGGAGGACCAGGGCAGAGTGAGCCAGACAGAAGAGTCATCATACGGCAAAGTCCGACAATAGAACTCATTCAACCTGAAGAACAGAGAGAAAACAGACACGAGGTGGAATGTGCTCAGAAACACATGTACCAAGTAAGAACATCAAAAAGCACCCGTGGACTGGAGAGACAGAAGGCTCAGTGGTGAAGAGCACTGGCTTCTCTTCCAGAAAATCCACGTCACAGCATCTGCATGTTGTCTCACAACCTCTGTATCTTCATTTCCAGGGGATATGATGCCTTCTTCTGGCCTCCTCAAGCACTGCACACACATGGCATGCAGATATACATGCAGGCAAAACATTTATACACATAAAATAAAAAATAAATCTTGAAAGGCTATGTTAAAAATGAGTAAATAGATATTTAAATCACAAGCAGCTTTATAAGGGCACTGGCACTGAGAATTTCTTCAGCCACATGGAATCGAACCAAGAATCAGAGACATAAAGGAGAAATCTCCTAATACTGGGAAACAGACCATCAGTTCTAAATGACCCACTGGACAGAGAGGAAGATTCAAGAGGAATAAAAAAAAATACACAGAACTGAATAAAGTGAAAATACAGTGTATCAAAATTTGTGGACACAGCCAGGGAATTACTGAGGGAAATTTATTACACTACACGCATGCATAAACAGATGAACAGTTTCCAATCAGCAATCTAAGCTCCCTCAGGAATTTTGGAAAACAAAAGCAGAATAGACTCAAAGCAAAAGAGCAAAAGAGAATAATAAATCTAAGATAGGAAAAAAAATCAATGAAAATTTAAAAATAGAAAAAAAATGAAACAAAGAACTTACTCTTTGAAAAGATCAATAAAGTTAAAAAACTGGCAATACTCACAGATGACACATTTCCCAGTATCAGCAACAAAAAGAAAGCCACCATAGACTCTGCAGGTCACAAAAGGACGTCAGGTGGGGCTGTGGTGGCGGCTCACAGGAAAAGACGTAAGTTCTGATCCCTAGCACTGGTGTCGAAAGCTGGGTGTGGCAGTGTGTGCCTGAAACCCTGACACTGGGGAGGTGGCGACAGGCGGAGCCGAGGCACGCAAGGCAGTCTGAAACCATAAGAGGTGGATCAGTGACTGAGCCGCTGAGCTCCACACCTGCACACACTCAACACACAGAGACACATGTGCATGCACACTCAGGCTCACACACCCACAAGGACATTAGACAAATCATTCAAACTTCACAGGGTAACTTCGAAATTGAGATGACATGGACTAGAACCTTTGAAAAGCACAAACTAGTGCAACTCATCCGTTACTAAAGCAGGCAACTGAATATCCCATAATTTATAAGAAATTAAGTTTATAATAAAAAATCTGAGCGATTTCTCAGTCAGTAAGGATCAAATAAGGAAAGAGAGGCAGTGGACACTGATTATACAGATGTACAGGAGCGTGAAATGATGCGGGCAGCCTAAGAATGTGTTATTCTCAAATGTTCACACAACAGTTTTTAAGTTAATGACTTTAGGAATCACAAAAGAAAACAATGGATCCAAAAGGGGAGGACTTCGTTGATGTCTCTACATACTACAATGCAATCAAATAAAGAACAGGCTGCAAAATAAATAAAAATCACTTAGAAAATTAAAAATGCCCTCATAAATAAAAAAGTCAAAAATAAAAATCACACCACAAGGCCTAGGAGATAATTAGAGCAGTGTGTGTGGGGACTCAGGAGAGTCCAGGGGGCTGCCCCCAGGATAACCCATCATTTCAGTATTACTCATCACAAAACAGAGAAAGATCAAAACAGCTGGAGTACCCATTCATTTCAAGAAGTTTTTTTTAAAGGCACATTTTTAAATGGACTGAACTAAAAGTGAAAATATTCGACAATAGGTATGACATCAACAACTTGGAAAAGAAATGGAAAGGGAACTGTTGAATTCTAATTATTAAAATGTGAACAAGAGTGCTGGCAAAATCAATCAGAAAGAGAAAAGGCTAAGGGGTGGGAGTTTGTTAACATTCGGACCAATGTTTGTGGAAACAGCAAAGACTTGTATAAATTCTCTCCCCCGTGAGAGCAATGAAGGAGCTGGGAAACTCTGTCAGAAGGGATTTTTCCAGGGCTCTGAAAAAATAAGCCAAAGGCTGCAGCAGTGTGCAGAATATTTGCTTGGTTAAAACGGCTGAAGGTTAAGGTTAGGGCTGGGCTTAGGGCTAATGTAAGGGTTAGGGTTAGGGTTAGGGTAGAGTTAGGGTTAGAACAGTACTTAGGACCAGTGGTATTTTCTTCTCTGTAACCCTACCTCCCTCTCTGAAACTCTGCAGATGCTTTGAATATGCCTTATCTCTGTGTAAATCTTTACCTGGTTGCTACTAGAGTGATCCCAATAGTTCTGCATCCCTTTCAAAGCCTTTTTCCTGTTGAATTTCTGGTGACTTATGAGATCTCCCTCTTCTTGGGTTATACTTTTCTTACCTTATTTACTTTTTACCTTGTCAAAAACATAAAGATGTTTGTTAGCTACAATCCCAGGCAAGTCTTTAGACTTCTTGGCTTCCTGAGTTGATTGACTGCAATGGAAAATATAGACAAAACCAGCAGGTTCTGGTGGAGAAGCTGGGAGGAGATTTGCAAAGCTCTAATGTTGCAATAAATTCCATCTGCCTTCCCCCACACCTCAATACCAGGACTCTGGCCCTAAAATGTATATGAAATTCAGGGAGCTGGGTATATTCTAAACATCTTTCATTGATAGAGTGAAGTTGGAAACCTTGCCATTTCCAGTGTCAGAATGGAGATTACAAAGCTATTGTAACCAGGACAGCCTACTGGTAGTGTAAGGGAAGCCATGAAAATCTGAAATTGAGAATTCATAAATGAACTCATGCAGCTCCAGGCTCCTATCGCCAACATGAAAATTCACAGAGGTGATTGACAGACAGCATTGCTGCTTTTGCAGAAGACCAGAGTTCCAATCCCAGCCCAACTCCACTTCTCAGGTGTCTAGCGCCCTCTGTTGGCTTCCATGAGGACACACATGCACATGGCACACAGACACATAGGCAAAAATAATAAAATTAGTCTTTTTTAAAAAAGAAACTGGTGTGGAGATTATTTTAAATTTTTAAAGAAAATTCACGATCTTTTAAAAATTACGTTTTATTTGTTTATGTGTGTATGTGTTTATCTATGTGTCTGTTGACAGGGATGTGCCATATGTGGAGATCAGAGGACAATTTTGGGGAGACATTTCTCTCCTTCCATAATGTGGGACCTGGGGACTGAACTCAGACCATCATGATAGGCAGCAAACAGCTCTACCCACTGAGCCATCTCTCAGGCCCCAAGAAGAAAACTCAGGGAGGAGAGAAGAATCTGATGAAAAATTGGTGTAGAAAAGCCGGCTGTCATGTGCAGGTGAGATTGGATTCGTAATTCACAGCATATGCAAAAATTAACCCAAAATGGATCAAAGACGAAATACAAAGGCTAAACACATAAAACTATTAGGGAAAGACATAAATACTCTCCACTAACCAATAGTTTCTTAGGTTGGAAAGGGGGCTGGAGAGAGGCCTCAAACATTGATAGCACATCCTGCTCTTCCCACAGCCCATCTGTTCAGTTCCTAGCCCCCATGCTGGGCAATTCACAGCTGCCTGGAATTCCAGTTCTAGGTGATCTGGTGCCCTCTTCTGGCTTCCTTTGGCACCTGAACTCATGTGCACATACCCACACACCAACAGGCACACATACACATGAATAAATAATAAAATGATCTTGGTAATAAATTAAGTAAAATAAAAAGTTGAAAAGCTACCCATAGGATGGAGAAAACATTTGCAAATCACTTCTATGTGACAATAGTATATCCAAGAAGTACCATGAATCCAGAATATGTAAAGACCCCTTAGGATTCAACAATAAAAGTACAAATAACTCAGCAGGCAAGGGGTACAAATAGGCACTTTCCCAAAAATGATACAAATGGTGAATAAGTGTGTGATGAAATGCTCAACATTATCTTTCATGTCTTTATAGAAATACAGATGAAATCTATTCCATTCCTTCAGGGGGATGGCCATAATTTTTTTTTTTTTTGGTTTTTTTCGAGACAGAGTTTCTCTGTGTAGCTTTGCGCCTTTCCTGGAACTCGCTTTGGAGACCAGGCTGGCCTTGAACTCACAGAGATCCGCCTGGCTCTGCCTCCCGAGTGCTGGGATTAAAGGCGTGCGCCACCACCGCCTGGCTAATTTTTTAAAAATAGTTGATTTAAAGGTGTAATGTAGAGAAAACTGGTTACCAGAGGAAGTTTTATAATGGTACAGCCACTTTGGAGCGGTCAGTTCCTCAAAAGATTAGAGTGACAGTATGATCCAGCAATGTCACTCCTAGAGGTACATAGAAGAGAATGAAAAATGTATCCAGAAAAAAAAATGCACTTCAATGTTAAGCATTATTTGTAACATCTCAAAGTGTAACTAATACAAGTGTCCATCAAAATTGACAGGAAAAAAATCAACATACACACACATCAGAGGAATAGTATTTAATCATAAAAAGGTATGAAGTATCAATACACCCATTACGTGGATAAATCTGGAAAATATTTTTGCTAAACGAAAGAATCCAAGCACAAAAGGATATGAGTGCTATGATCCTGTTTGTATTAAACCTCTTGAATGGTCAAGTCCAAAGACAGAAAGTGCATTAGTGGCTGATGGGCTGGGGGAGGGAGCCTGGGGAAAGGCAGCTTAAGCAGCACCAGGTTTCCTCTAAGTTATAGCAGTGTTCTGGAATTAACCTGTGGTGATGTCATAAAGTTGGTGAATATAGCAAAAAGCAGGGAGCTGTGAACCTTCAAAGGGTCAATTTTATGGTATGTGAATAGTATCTTAGTTTTTCAATTATTCTATTCAGAATGATGAAACTGCTTTACTATAGACCTAGAGGAAAGTGCCATCTTAAAGCATATATTACAGAAATCACAAATTGCTAGGCTCAAAAACTGATGCTTAAGGATCTGGAGACATGGCTCAGAGGTTAAAAGCACTGGCTGTACTTGCAGAGGACCTGAGCTCAGTTCCCAGCATCCACAGGTATGCTCACAGCCATCTACAACTCTAGTTCCAGGATATCTGACACCCTCTTCTGGCCTCTCCCACACATGGTACACAGACATGCAACACACACACACACACACACACACACACACACACACACACACACACACACACACTAAATGTATTTTTTCAAAATTTGAGATTTTTGGTGAAGCAAATTCTTTTGTAAGACTTAGTTCCCTGAAATGGACTCAAAAAGAGATAGAAACTGAAACAAAAAAAAAATAGGGTTGGGGAGAGGACCTGAGTTCAAATCCCAGTACTGAGGAGCTGGAAATGGGGGTGGAGGTGGGGAGAGAGAGAGAGAGAGAGAGAGAGAGAGAGAGAGAGAGAGAGAGAGAGAGAGAGAGAGAGAGAGAGAGAGAGAGAATAATAAAAAGAGTGGAAGCAATTTACATAGACTAAAAACTGTAATTGGACTTTTTTTTTTCAAGGAGAGAATACAAAGCACTGTGTCTCTGTTGTTTAATTGGGAGGGGGTCATCCAGACTCAAGTCTGATAACATTTATAGATAAACCCAGGAAAGAAAGCTAATAACCAACTGTGTTTGGAGATGTGGATATGAAATTTCTTTTTCTTTTTTCTTTTCTTTCTTTCTTTTTTTTTTAAAGGATGATTGAATCCAGCTGCACATTAAGAAAATAATATACTACCACCAAATAGGGCCCATTATGAGAATAAGAGGTCAATTCAACATTAAAAGTCTACTATTTTAACTAACCTTATTAGTATGTCAAAGATGGCAAACAATATTAAATTCTTTACACACAAAAAATAATGCTCACAAAATTTGATTTTTTAATTACATTCAATCAAATATCAGCATTATGAAAAGCACTAAAAACATAATTAAATTCAGCAAAAGCAACAACAAGGCCCCAGCCATCAGTGTTGCTTAACTTCATCTTATCACCGCCTGCCAATGCAATTTGTCACAAAACCTAATAAAAACGTGACTATTCAAAAGGCTAACTAAGGACTCAGTAATAAAAACATATATACTAAAAATATCAAAATTTTATTGTTTTGTACTCTTTAGGGAAACAAAGTTGTCTCTACCTACATATCATAAACTTTCTTGCCATTCCTAGAGATAAAACATTAAAATTGTCATCAGATTATTTTAGTAACTTCCAAACCATTTGCTGATTTCTAGGAGTTGTTGGCGCAACTTTAAAAACACAACTATCACCAATCAAGTGAGCAATAATCTGACACACAGAGCACATCTAATTCTCCCAGCCACTTAACCACTAATTAGTACTCAGTGGCTGACTGGTGCCACATGTCTCTCAAGATCACAATATTGTTCAAATGCTGATGAATCTGTCAGCTTCCGCTGAACACCCAGCAACCAATCCAAACATTTCTAACCTTTAAAACATTCAGTTTTTACATTTTCAAATCCATCATCCTTGAAGCCATGCAGAACTTGAGGACTAGAATGTTGTACAACCACATGCCATGTAACACATTTAATCAGGGAGGGATAGGCAGCCTGTCAGCTGGTCATCTGCAAAGACTGTGTCTCCTGTGACACGACAAGCATCTGAGTCAGTAGTACCCTCTGCCATGGTGCACAAATGTGAGATCACCTAGCCCATACTCCTCAGAACATTTTCCCACTGCCGAGTGATGCATGACTGTATTTAATTACAAAAATCATTTTATCAACCTTCATTTACCTTAATCCATTTGCAGAGCCAAATAGTGGTCATAGCAACAGTAATAATACATTTTAAAACACAGTTTAGTGAGAAAAAAATTAAAGAAAAATTTCTGTTTTTTCTTTTGCCATTAAACACCAAATACATTTTCTGACTGTTTATGGATTGGACGTATTTTCTCTTCAATGTTTTCTCCCATCAGAAAGAGTCTATTATCTTTATTTCTATTGAACCTCTTTTTCCCTTTGGTTTTCTGTGTTCCCACATTTTTTAGTGTTCATCACATTAATCTGCCTCCAATCATTAGTGAAACTTCACATTAAACTGTCACTGTTCGTATTTTACTTTCAAATTAACTTACGGTGGAGTTTCTTTCTAAAAAGAGGGCAATTTTCTCAGTGTTTGCTCCTATTACACTATTTTTGTTAAATTGATAAATTCGAAAATTTCAAACTACTTTTGCAATCCATCACAGCCCAAGCATTCTAAGTCCCATTGTTTCAACTTTCAAATCTTTGGTTCTGTTATTAATTTTTCCCTGAAACTCTATAATTCGTGACAATAAATCAAACACTAATTTAGAAGACATTCATAATCACTTACCTACTTTATACAGGTCAGCCACAGGGATTCTCGACTTCAGTGAGTCAGACAGTACCTGATTAAAATGTCCAAGAAGTTTGCTGAAATGTTGTTTGAAACTGTGGGTTCTCTCCCCAGCTCTTCACAGGCTTGTACGAAATCTAATAAGTTTTTCATGGAAATATTGTTCATTGGAACCATTTTTCTTATGTGTCAACAATAAATTTTGATAAATTATTTCAGGTGCTTTTCCTTCCTGCCTCATGAGATCAACAAAAGCCATTAAATTATCTTCAAACTCTTGAAGTTCGCGTGTTAAATAAATTATTAAAACTATTTTATATGAAATGGTTGAGACTTCATCAATAATGATTGACATTTTACTGCCTTGATTTATACATTTTCCAAAAAGTTGTTTTCTTCTCTCAGCAGATAAATATTTCTGCAACAAGCAAGTCCATATATTTAGATTGCAGTGATAAGCACATATTAATGGCATTCCTTACTTGAAGCTTATTAAATATTTTATGTCTGAGGATGTACAATTATTTTTAAAGACACAGACGGTATTCTCTAGATGTTTTTCATTTGCTTTATCAATATTTTGATAAACTTTAGGAAATTTTATTACAAATACTTATCATGTGAAATTGATTCCTAATGATTTTTATGATTTTTCTCATTGATGAGAGAAATTATTCTTTATTTAAAATTCAGGTTTTGACAGACATAATCGTCACTCTTGTGAAATGGCGAATTATGACATTTTCAACTTAAAATCACTTTTTAGATTTACTGATTTTACTTTTATGTGAATGAGTGCTTTTCCTGTAGTATGTATGTGTACCACACGCATGCCTGGTGTTCATGGAGGTCAGAAGAGGGTAACAGATCTCCTAGAACTAGAGTTACAGTTGTTGGCTGTGAGCCACCATGGGAATGCTGAGAATCAAGCCCAGGTCTTCTGCAAGCGCAGCCAGTGCTCGTAACCAGTGACCTGTCTTTCTAGCCCTCAGCTCCTTTTATTTTAAGTTTTTATAGAACAACTTTGGGGAGTCAGCTCTCTCCATTGTAGGTTCCGGGCCTTGAACTCAGGCCCTCAGGCTTCCAATTCAGGAGAGCTTTTACCCACCGGGCCACCTCACAGGCTCCCTTTGAGCTTTTAAACATACCAAGGTTTGAGCATTCTGATGATCTGGGCAACTTACCGACTCCAAGTGCAGCCTCTGATATGACAAAGCTGCCACTTTATGTCTGTTGATGTGACCATATCGCTGTCGTTGAATTCACTTCAGTTACTGTTCTCCTTTGCCATCTCTACAGTTTCCAAAGGTCCCAGGTTCTGGTTTCTGCACAGTATCAGAGGCTGTTTCCCCACATAGTTCAATGTTAGGAATGTGGCTTCTTTGTTCTCCCACAGCCAGAAAATTCATGTTTATAATACTTAAAAAGAACATGGAGGAACTTATCCCAAAGCCTGCTGTATCTTCAATCTGGATTTCATTGTTAATATTTTATTATGAAGTCTTGAATTTATAAACATCAAAAACACTGCACAATTACTACTTACACAACTAATTATAGCCCACTAACAATAAAAGCAAAGCAGGAATGGCTGTATTTAGAAGCAGGAGTAATTGCATAATTTAGCCTCAAGCCATAGTTCTCAAACTTTTTGTCCTCAAAATACTTTCTCATTGTTAAAAATGATTTAAGATACCCACGGAACTTTGGTTTAAGTGAGTTATGGCTATGGATACTTACCGTACTAGATGTGAGGACAGAACTTGACTTTATTGTTATTTATTTAATTACAATAACAGTAATAAAGTCACTCAATGTTAGCATAAACAACATGTTTGTGAAAATAACTACATTTTCCAAAACAGAAAGGAAAAGAGTGAGAGCAGTGTCACTCTAACTCTTATAAACTGCTTTGATGTTCGGCTTAATAGAAATCAGCCGGCCCCTCCCATCTGTGTGCATATTCAGAAGGATGGACTCCCTCATGTCACGCAGCCTTCAGAACATTCCGGTCACACGGACTATCTCATGTCATGCAGCTTCCAAACATTCTAAAAACATCTATGCTAAAATCAGGGGAAAGGGGGGCAAATGAGCTTTTGTGTTACAACTGTAAAAGGTCGCCAGCCTAAATGCTTTAAAACACTTTGTAAGTGCCTTATAACCCCTGCTTCAGACATATAGTACACACTTCTGAATGGTGCCAGGAAGCCGTACTGCCATCTCTGAAATGGGGCAAACTGGCAGAAGAGATGGCTAAGATGTTACTGTGATGGGGGAGCAAGCTATTTCAGTGGATGCTGTCGCATGCTATCCCCATGGATTTGAATTAACCAATTTACATTAGAACATATGTCATTAACTGGCTTTGCTGCACTTTGCTGTTTACTAACATTGTTTACTAACATTCAAATACGTCTCAAAAGGTAAAGACTGGTCAGACATGCTGGACAGCATCATTAGAACATTGGTCTTGCTGAGGGCTTTAAATATTTAATGAGGGAAGTTACAGTCTTCATTCATGCACTGCCATATGAAAGCCAGGAAGAACAAATGAAAAAAAAAGTAATTAGGGATATTGAGTAAGGAAAAGTTGTTGCTAAAATATCCTGCTGCTGGGGCAGGAGAGATGGCTTAGTGGTTAAGAGTGGCATTGCTACTGCAGAGTGCTGGAGTCCAGTGGCCAGCCCTCAGGAAGGACAGTTCATAACCACCTCTATCTCAACCTTTAGGGGATTAGCACCTTCTTCTGGACTCCACAGGTACCTGCACTCACATGTGCACATACCTATACACTAACGCACACATAATTTTAAAAACAAATCCTAAAATATGTTGTTGCTGCCTATATGAGAGGTCCAGAGATGGCTCAGTCAGCCAAATGTTTGCCATGCAAGCCTGAGGACCTGAGTTCAGATCCCCAGAGCCCGTGTAGGATTCTGGGCGTAGTGGTGCCTGTCTGTAATTCCAGTCTCAAGAAGGTGATGACAAGGGACTTGCTGGAGCTGGAAGGCCAGCTCGCTTCAGTGAGAGACCTTGTCTCTAAAAATAAGGTGAAGAGCAACCAAAGAATATGTCCAGTGCACTCACCAGCAGGTATACACACACACACACACACACACACACACACACACACACACACACACAAACACACACACACACACACGCGCACACACACACACAATTATATGTATGGGAATACTGACATCCACATCTATGTCTAATTTTCCTGAATAACAAGGGCAATTTAAATTTAATAAAATATGCATGACACATATGAAGAGCAGAACTTGATTCAAGGATATAAAAGAAACCATATTATTATCCAAAACAGAGGGTTCAACGGCTCGATGTTCTATATTCAATACTATTTCTATCAACATAATATTATTTTTATACTTGATAAAATTAAAGGTATTTGTATTAAATTTGATTTAAAATATATGCAAGAATAACAAAGTAAAGGAAGAGGAGAGAGAGAGAGGGAGATAGGATGGGAGGGAGTCAGAAAGGGAAGAGTAGACAGTATCTGGTCTGCTTTGTTAAATGCTAATATGTATTAAAATGTGCAGTATGAAAATAGCACAGTTCTAAGACCAGAATAAATAAGCACATAAATAAAACAGAACAGATACGTTCCCCCAAAGACCCAGCATGGATAACCTCAGATTCTAAAATGAAAAGAGAATTATTCCATAAACAGTGGTTCAACTGGCTACTATTTTGGGGGAAAGTTAAGATGCCTAAGTTACAACACACCAAAATAAATCCACCAACATTAAAGATTTAAACATCAATGAGACATTTAGAGCAGCTATACATGGATACAGAAGAACAGATGTAATCGTGAAACAGAAAAGGCCTTTCTACGCAACAACAACAAAAAAATGAGAGATTTGACCAGATAGCAAGAAAATGACTGCAGAAAAATAATGCATAAAGTAAGAAAAAGCCTAGTCAATACACGGGATGTTCCGATAGAGAAGTGGACACCAGCCCTACCCACTAGTCAACACAGGCAGCCAGAAAGCAAAGAAATTCCTGACCCAATGCAAGGAAAGAATGAGGCTGGAGGATGGCTACATAGAGGAGCACTCGTCCAGCTTGCAGTGGGGTCCTGGGTTCGATCACCAGTACTACAGAAACAAACAACTAACCCCTATCTCAAGAAACCAGTTTCCATCTACCATATTTTCCAAGTGTAAAATTAATCACACAGTCTGTTGGTTAAAACAAGGAAAAAAAGCCGGGCGGTGGTGGCGCACGCCTTTAATCCCAGCACTCGGGAGGCAGAGCCAGGCGGATCTCTGTGAGTTCGAGGCCAGCCTGGGCTACCAAGTGAGTTCCAGGAAAGGCGCAAAGCTACACAGAGAAACCCTGTCTCGAAAAACCAAAAAAAAAAAAAAAAAAAAAAAAAAACAAGGAAAAAGGAAAGCATAAATTAGAAGCGTTTGGGATGGGGGTGACCAGGTGAATAAACTTAGAAGAATTATTTAAATGCACAGAATCCATAGTACAGCAGTTCCATTTCTTAAAAAAAAGTACATTTTAGATTTATTTATTTACTTGTGTGTGCGAGTGTGTGTGTGTGTGTGTGTGTGTGTTTGTGTGTGTGTGAGTGAGTGTGCATGCACACACATATGTGCAGGTGCCACAGTGTACGTAGTGAGGTCAGAGGACAACCCACACTGGGGTTGGTTCTCTCCTCCTACCATGTAGTACCATGTCCATGTAGGTCCCAAGGGTCAGACTCAAGTCATCAGACTTAGCGGCAAGCTCTTTTCCCCACTGAGCCATCTCATTGGCCCAACAGTTCCATTCTTAAGGAGAAATTCAAGTAGGGTCATAACAGGATGAATGTGTTCAGGATGTTCTTCACAATATTGTCCCTTCAAGAAAAAAATACCAAAACCATGTTATCAATGATAAGGATTTAGTATGTTTATGTAACTGTATCATAAGAGAATGTTTTTCTATGCTTTGTGATATACCAAAAATATCATATAATAAAGGTTATGTTCATACTGACAAACTATTAAGCTATCCATAAATATGATACAATATCATTCCAAGCAACATATTGAATAGGATTTTGTTGTTTTTAAAAGCCTATTATTCATGCATCTGTGTTACTGTGCTGGCTGCTTTTATATCCACTTGACCCAAGCTAGCATTATCTGGTAGGAGGGAACCTCATTGAGAAAATGCTTCCATAGCATTGGGCTGTAAGGCATTTTCATAATTAGTGACTGATGGGGGAGGGCCCAGCCCGTTGTGGATAGTACTATCCCTGGGCTGCTGGTCCTGGGTTCTATAGGAAAACAGGTTGAACAATTCACGAGGAGCAAGCCAGAAAGCAGCCCCCCTCTGTGGCCTCTGCATCAGCTCCTGCCTTCAGGTTCCTGCCCTGTTTGAGTTTCTGCCCTGACTTCCTTCAGTGATGGACTGTCATGTGGAACTGTGAGTGAAATAAACCCTTTCCTCCCTTTGTTCATGGCATTTCATTGCAATGGTAACCCCAACTAAGACAATTACAGATAATCACAGACAATATTTGTGAGCTGTGCACTAAAATACTAATAGCTTGATGATGAGTTTAAATAGTTTGCCTTCTTGCTGTTTTTGCTAATCTATGTTTTTCAACATTAGATGTGAATGGCTTTTACTATATATATCTTAAATTTTGCATGACTAGTTACCAGTTGAGTTTGGTCCTTAATACTTGAGGGGTGCTGTGGTGACTTAATGTGAATGTCTCCCCATGGGCTCACGTATTTGAACACTTGGTTCCAGGTTGGTGGTGTTGTCTGGGGGGTTAGGAGGAGTGGCTTTGCTGGAGGAAGTCCACCCCTGGGGGCGGCCTGGAGAGCTTCTGTCTTCACTCTATTTGCAGTTTTCTTTCTTTGTTTCTTGCTGATGGTAAAGGATGTGATCTCTCTGTGGTCTGCTCCAGCACCCTTGTCAGCTTCTTGCTGCCTTGTCTTCTTCCACCCCTTCCCCCACAATAGATTCTTATCCCTCTAGATCAGTGGTTCTCCTCCTGTGGGCCACAACCCCTTTGGCAAACCTCTCATCCCAAATCACATTTATAGTATGATTCATAGCAGTAGCAAAATTATAGTTATGAAGTAGCAACAGAAATAATTTTATCATTGGGTGTAACACAAATTGCTAAATGGTCTTATTTAAAAAAAAATGGAGCCAGATATTGGGGTGAAAGCTGAAAGATCAGAGAAGCAGAACAAACCACAGCCAACCTCACCTCACCGACTCCTCAGCCGATCCTGTTTCCATGAATCCTCAGACTGAAAGCCTCTGAGTCCTCACCCCTGAGGGCCTCAGTTGA